TTGTACATATCTAATTATAATGAACTTTAAATAAATGACGATATAAATTGAATTGAATTGTGTGTATATACATATTGCTATTTTATTAACCGTTATATTTACATTAATTTTACATGAAATTTTATTTTAACAATACAAAAATTTAAATAATATAAAACAAAAATTATAATCAATATTTTTTTGGTACATTAAGAAAGGAAACAAAGCTAACTAAAGAAGACTTTGGTGTGACCCACACCAGCTAGATCTTGAGGTAAGAGAGAGGTGACATTCGAAGGAGGGCTATGAAGAACTTGGAAGTCTTGAGCACAGACAACAAAAATCTTGGATAGGCAATCAGCTAAGGAATTGACCTCTTGAAGATGTGAGAGATCCGCAGCTAAGGGTGGGACCGAATGAGCAATCTTATATTAGTCACTAATGAACTTAACCCTGCTGGAAGGTCCATTCCACCTTGCACCATTCGAACAACTATGAAATTGTCACTCTCAACTTGGAGAGGAAGGAAAAAGTGAGCCAACGCAAGCTTAATTCCATGAAACAAAGCCCATAACTCAATACTCAGTACTAAAGTGATCACAACTTTAGCGACAAAACCAAGTTACCAACAATCCAAAGAGTCGAACAAGTCCACCACCAAACCAGGACTAAGAAGCCTGGGGACCGAACATCAATATTTAACTTGAAGGATCCAGTCTTCGGACTTGAAGGATCCAGTCTTCGGTAGAACCCATGTGGTCCACCTATCCATCGATGGAGAAGAGTTACTGCTTGGAATAGTTACTCTATCGGTAGTATCCAGGTATTGCCTAGCAAAAAGATATGCCTAATGCTGAATAACATGAGTTGGGGTTGCATGCTCTTTGAACACCACCTTGTTTCGATTTTTTCTAGATAAACCATTATACCGTTCCAAAAAACGAGGCCCAAACCATTAAACTTCAAGTTACTAGAGGCAAGATTTAAAGAATCCCAGTCCGAGATGCTAAGATCAAGCTTGAAAAAGACATCTCAAAATTTCGGGTGAACTGACAACTGCCAAATACCAATAACCTCGGCACAATCCCGTATGGTGTGCATGCATGTCCCTGCTGCAGGACAGCGTACGGGGTACTCAATATGCTGGGTGAGATGGCGAGGCCATCATTCAGTGTTGATTAGTAAAAAGATTATGATGAAGAAGCCAAAGAAAGCTTCCTATCTGTTGGTAACCTTGCCATTTCCAAATTCTCATCCAAGAGGCATTCCCTTAATTTGTCTCTTGGGGATATAATAGCTTAAAAGTATATTTGATTGTTAAGTTACCTGACGAAGAGGGTCCCTAAAAAACCAAATCATCGCCAAGCTCCCCAGTCGAAGCTGGGATAGCCTGGACCTTCTGCACAAACTCATCAGATAGGAAGTGATGCAACAGGCTCAGATTCCAATCACCATCTGGAGCAACATACATAGCGGCCTTATGATCCTTCATGTCATTCGTAATGGCTATTATTGCAACATCAATCAACTTAACACCAGCATCGATCTAAGGGTCAGTCAAAAAGCGGATAGAAAGACCATTACCTAATGCCCACACCATGCTAGTAGTTAAATGATGAAAGATCTGCTTTATTCCCTTGGCCACTGCAGATAAGTTTGAGCCATATATCCAGGATAGGATAAGCTCTTCACCAAGCTTATATTTGGATCGAAGTACTTGGACCCATAGCGCCTACCAGTCATAAATCAAACCCCAACACAACTTAAGCAAAAATATCCCATTTAAATCGGATAAGCACCGAAAACTAAGGCCACCAACTTGCTTTAGGGATTGAATTCGCTCCCATGGGACTAGTGCCATCTTTCGATTAGCATCAATCGCTCCCCAAACAAACTTACGACAATTCTTCTCAATCTTATTTCACAACCCAGCTGGTATTCTCGTCGTCTTCATCGAATAAATTGGAATAGCAGCCAAAACCGACCTGCGTGAGAGTGATTCTTTCAGCAAGAGAGAGCTAAAACGCCTTCTAATTTGCAAGCGGAGTAGTGACCAAATCAAGAATATGCTGGTAAGTATGTCTCGTTCTTCCACGCAATATGGGCATACCTACAGACTTGCCAAAGTTCTCAGTCTCCTTGAAAGCCAAGTGAGCGGTCAGATTCTGTCTTTTGGCGAGATCGACATGCTTAAAGTAATAGACATAATTTTACTAGAATTAATCTTTTGCCCAGAGTAAGCGGCCAAATCCTGTCTTTTAGCGAGAGGGACATTCTTAAAGTAATAGACATAATTTTGCTAGAATTAATCTTTTGCCTAGAGCGAGCCCAGAAATCAGTGAGAAGCCCATTAATAACATCCGCCTGGTTTGTATCAGCTTCGATGAATAAAAATAAGTCATCCGCGAAAAATAAATGAGTGAGCGAGGTTCCATTACGTTGTAAGGAGATGGGTTTCCATAGCCTTTGGTGAACAGCCAAAGAAATAGCTTGAGCAAGTCTGTCTCAAGGTTTACTTTAATAGCCATAACCCCCATCCGCCCCCTTCTTTTATCGCATGGAGTGGATAATTTCCTGTGCAAGAATGATATTATCAGTAATTTTTCGCCCCTGTATAAAGCTTATTTGAGTGGGTCCTACGACTGTAGAAAGTAAAAGCTTAATTTCATTCACAATAATTTTAGTGACTAGTTTATACATCGCAGAACAGAGATTAATGGGTCTAAATTACGATATAGTTGTGGGATTACTTATCTTGGGAATGAGCATTAGGATAGTTCCATTTAATGTCGCATCCATGGTATAAGTCGAGAAAATTCTACAACAGACTGAATGAGCAAACACTAACCAATTTTTCTAATAGAAACTCGCTTGGAGCCCATCTGCTTCGGAGCTTTCCACCGCTTCATGTAGAAGAGAGCTCCTTTCACTACCTCATCAGTAAACGAGAGAGCCAGGCTATGTAAGCCTCCTTCATGAATAGTCAAAAACAATCAAGAGATGAGAAAAATAGGAGAAATCGAGCATTCTTCTGTAAACAAACCCGCAAAGTAATTTCGAGCCATATGTTTTAACATTGGGCCATCATCAATCCAAGCGCCATTTTTTTCCCGAAGCATTTCAATCCGATTAAACTTATGCCAATTAATGGTTTTTAAGTGGAAATAAGCAGTGTTCCTGTCTCCCCACTATATCTAGTCGGCTCTTGGTTTCTGTATGCAGATTAATTCCTCCTAGTATAGGACCTGATCCAGCTCTACTTAAAGTCGCATGTCTAGCACATACAATTTATTAGTTGGGTAGGACTAAAGAAAATGTTGAATACCAGCTATTTGGAAGAGGTTTCTTTTTTGCTTAAAAATGTTGCCAAAAACTGTATAGTTCCACTCTTTGAGCTGATGTGTAAAAGAAGAAATAGTGGAACTGATGGTAGATAGAGTTTTGAAAGCAAAACATTATATGTGTTCATCTTTTTTCGAAGTATGAAAGGGTTTTCAACTAAATTACACATGGAGAAGCATTTCTCGAGCTAAATGGGTTATTGGCCGAGGCTATAGGTGGAGAATGGGTGATGGGACTGTGTAAACATGTATTTTTTATACCATTATATTGTTAGAAAACTATTACAAAAATTGTTGTTCGAATCAGTATTCAATCGTCAAAAGTCAAAGTAAAACTCTAAAAGTCGAAAGTGACTTTTATCCACTCTTTTGATCATAACTTAAGCTACGAATAGTTCTTTTGAATAATTAAAACTAGACTTCTCAAACTTTTGTAACGGCATATTGCACGCCAAAATCCGACTAAAGACAAGTGAGAACGAAGCCTTATAAGTCATGTTAATGGTATAAGAAAAGTCAAAGTCAGGGCTTAAAGAGGGCTATTCGTAAGTGGCTGGCAGCCGTTGTAAATGGCCTTGCAGCCGTTGCAACTTACCCTGGCAGGGCTCGGTCCCTTGGTCTTCTCTGCCACGAATTGACTATGGTTATTCGTTAGAACTAAGAACCTAAAATAATTGGAGATATTGATTAGATGTCTACGGGCTGATCTTGATAATCTATGACAAATCTGCTTCATAGAAGAATTGGAATGAGAACAGATTACAATCCATAGAAGTCGTGGTTTATTTTATGGCATTGAAATTAATGCTTCCATATGTGAGGAACTCATTCCATGAGAGCCACACCATCATCTAGTTCCAAACCCTCTTACTCCTCTTGAGGTAGTCCTCTTCATATAATTAAGAAAACCAATCATATCACGTTTGATTGACAGTAAAAGCGAGAATTTGACTGCTCAATTCAAATGGAATAGAATTAATGCTAACCAAATAAATTAAATTTTTTATATAAAATAAATAAATCAAATAGAGTTTATAAGATTGAGGCAACTTTGATAGTTTGATTATTTAGCTTAACTTAAATTTTGAGTTAAATTGGTTTAATTTTACAGTTTTTCAAATTTTCAATTTTATATAATAAAAAATGAAGCAAATTAAAAAAGTTCATTTCTTACACTAAAATTAAAATTAGATTAAATTTTTTTAATTTTAAACCGAACTGAATCAAAAGATAAAAACTCAATAACTAGCATATGCACCAAATTTAAAACATCAAATTGATTAAAATGAAGAACAAATTATTTTTCATTAGAAGTTAGTTGAGCAGAGAAAATCAGATGGTGCAACAATTGGATGGATCTGCAGCGTATAGGGCCCACTGATTACAAAGGGTCTTTAACTTGTAATAAATTATTCTAACCCACGATACCAGATTCTGAAAGCTTCCTTTATTATTATTTTTTTAACTCTGTTTTCTTTTTCACCATGATAATAATAATTAAAAACAAAAACACAGAATAGAGAACACTGAAAATAAAACACAGCCAATGAAAAGAAGAAAAAGAAAATAAAAAGAACACTAGAAAACAAAAATGGTATACGTCATGAATTCATTAGCATGTGTGATGATGGTGGTGCCTTCATGTCAAACGTGAAGCACACAATGAGAGAAGAGAGAGAGTCTCTATTTTCATTTTTAACGCTTAACTTTCTTTTTAAATTTTCTGGGTGGCCTGTGGACTTTACTTCTTGTTGGTAGACCCCCGCCTTTACTGACCCTCTATTTTTCTTTTTTCTTAATATAAATAAATTTCTTATAATCCTTCTTTTTGCTGTTTAATGTCTCTTTGCTTTCTAAATCCAGTGTTAGATTAGATACTATCAGTGAAAATATAGTCAACCAAGAGAAGCTAAATTTTGGGTTACTTGCATTTCTCTTTCTTACTTTGGTGCTGGAGAGAGAAAGAGAAGAGAAGGAGAAATGGGTATTGTTCCAGATGAGGCAATCAATCAGTTCAAAGAATTGATGGATCAAGGTTGATTTGATCTCTATTTATTTGTTTATGTACATGAAAAATTGCTTAAATTAACTATTTTTCACTTTTTCTTTTTGGTTTGTTCTTTTCTGGTTTATTTTCTGAAATGTGATGGTAGTTGATGAGCCACTGAAGAGGACATATCAGGTATGCATTTTCCTTTCCATGTTTGTTTTTAATCTATTTCATTATTGTTATTTTTATTTTTTATTTTTCTCAATTTAGGTCAGAAGTTTTTCAAGTGTATTTAGAGGTCAGTGGGTAATTACGTGATTTTGCTGCTGTGAGTTGCATATGCTATGATGCTGATCCGGATACCGTTAGTGCTTTTTCCTTATACACATAATTGGAATTTTTGTTAGCTAAGAATGGCATTGGAATGTTGAATATTATCAATTACAAAAATTGGTTCCAAAAAAAATGATAAACAAAAAGAGAAATATTTGATTTAGAACTCTGGTAAGGATTAAAATGGGCTTTTTTTCTGAGAGTGTATGCGTTGCGTTGCTTTAACTATTGGTTTATTTGATCTTGAATTGACGGGAAACTTTGATCTGAGTCTTCTTCTCAAGTTCAACAATCCACTCGGTAGTGGGTGTAGTAAATGAATCTATCTTCAAGGCTGTTTACTGGAGACTGTCTCTGGGTTTATTTTGTATAGGCTCTCTGGATTCAAACTGTACAATAACTAAGCCTTGATCCAAACTTGTTGGGATAGGCTATATGAATCATTAATGTCTAGAAACAGTAGATCTTTTAAAACAACTACTCTCCAACTCCAAGTGGTTTTAAGTTTCGCTCTGCCTGTTTAACACCCTCCACCATTAACTTAGAAAACTTATGAACTGAATCACATGTGGGTCTATGCAGGACATGATAACCATCTCAGACGTCCTTCCCTCATGTTATTCCCAACTTGTGCTGCTTGCACCTTTTTATTGGATATAGTCATTTTTAATCTTGTCAAATATTGTGTGACCAAACATCCATCTTAACATCCTTATCACTGTAACATTCATCTCGTGAACATAGAAAAATAGAAAACAAGCCTTTTGATGTAGTGTAAATAGTAATATAAGACTTATGATCACTACTTGGGTTCCAATATGTTTAGACCTGAGTTTTTCCATTTAACTACTGATTTGGCCTTTCTTAACCAACAATCCAGCAAGCTAGATGGATTGACCTTTGATGAGCATTTTGCTTTGAACTTTGAGTAGTGAATGGTAGAGGAGGCTTTTCATAATAGTATTTGAAACACGTTACTAAGAGACTGGGAAATTAATTAAGAAGAATGCTCCCACATAGATCTGTTAATTTTTATTTTCCACTAGCCCAGCAACATTTCTCTGGTCATTTCGTATTACTTGAACCTAATCCTTCTATTGTTGTCTCTTTGCTACTTTGTTATAAGAAATTTCTTTTGAGTTTCCAGTTAATTCGACTATCTTAAATTGGTAGAATAAAATGGCCTTATAGGAATGCTAAGACTTTGTTCTTCTCCTTCCCATCCTAAAAGTTTTTTGTGACTTGTACTTTAGCATGTGGCTATCATATCAATGGTGTTATATTAGAAGCATAATGCTGGATGATTAACAGACTGAATGTGTGGTGGGGACTTCTACAGAACAAGGTTGTAGTTCTTGTCAATAATTGACATAGTGAATGTCGTTCTGCTCACTGTTTGACATGGCAAAAGCTTCAGCAGTATTGTGTCGGGTTGTACCTGGTTCAAGACGCAGGACCTATGCTAAATCAGGTTAAAGTGGTAATTTTGAAGAATTGAGGAACCAAACCAATATTATTGCTAATAAAACCAAGTAGTTTGTATTGGTTTGTTTGGATATCTATCCATCAAGTTTAATTTGAATCAAGAAAATGTTTCTTACACACTTCTTAAGCCACAGAACAAGCTTGAAAATGCTATGTTTATATTCAATGAGTTCCACTAGTGGGGTACATTGAACTCGAAGAAGAAAATCTTTTGCTAAGTAGATTACATGATTAGAGAATAAATAGAAAGTAAACACTCCTAACAGCAACAGGGGAAAAAATAAAAAAGAACTCCAATATAATTAAGAGAAGAAGACTAAACATAGGAAAAAAACAACAAATACTTTGACAAAATTCACCGGAAACACATTGTGTGTGTGGGAGTGTCTGTTGACCCTAAATAGAAAACAGTACTTTTCTGTATCTAAAAGTTTCTATTTTCTGTATTTGAAACATATAATTGATATGTATTTTAGAATTCAGTTTGCTTTGGGTTATAGTTAGTGGTCAAGATATCAATCCTCAAACCTAACTGATTTTTTTATTTGGCTATTATTTTAAACCAAGACTAGTTTGATAAGTTTGTAGCCTGTAAATTTTGATACAGTTGGGTTGGTTTAGACTCTTTCTATACAACTCTAGTATTATGCAATTGTTAGATACCCTTGCTTCCAATAACCAATTTCAGAATTCTTGAACAAAATGAGTTTAAGATGAGGTGTATTAGAGGAGTGAAGTAACTGGAATGGTCTGGACTTCTGTTGCTTCAAAGTCACAACCCGCTAGATGTCAAAGAACAAAGCACTATGTTTTCCTTTTATAAAAAATTTCCATGTTATTATTAAATTTACAAGTAAGTAAAGTTGCCTTTGTGTAGCTTTTAATGTGCGATCTCCTCCCCTTACATCATAAATAGATTGTTTCTGTGGCATGAACTCTTGACCTCAAGCTACAATTAAACAACTTTACATTTCTGTCTTTCTTCCTGTTGTGGAGCTTTCATTAAATATTCTGGAAAATTGTGAGATAATTTACTAACTGGTATGAATTTGGATTCTGAACACACATGCCCATAAGAAACCATTACTTGTAACTGAAGAAATTAGATTTTAAATAAATTTTAAGACAATAGATAGAGGATAAAAAAACTGAAGTGGAATCCTCATATATTGAAGAATACTTTAAAAGATTTGTCCAAATTGATTTCTTGCTTGTAGGCCATTGGGAAAAAAAGAGGTAAAATAGAAGAGTTTTGGGAGATGGAAGGGACTTGACTCAAAAGAAAAAAAAAAAAAAAAAAAGAAGAGTTTTGAGATGGAAGGGACTTGACTCAAGAGGAAAAAAAAAAAAAAAAAAATCTTCTTCTAGGGCTAATTAAGTTGTGTGACCTCTTAACTTCATATTGCATATTTTTTTTTTTCTGATATCGCCACCAATTTTTTCTTTTTTTTTCTTTGCTTTGGTTTTTCTTTTTTTTCTTTTTATTTTTATGGAATGCCTTATTGACCATCTTTTTTGGTAAAACATTTAAGTTCTTGGCTTTTAATGACTCTCATAACTAGCTTTTTGATTTCTTTTCGGACTGCTTTTTGGGTCTTTCCATCGAGAAAATATCTTTTAGACATAATTTGAAAGTATTTTGATTCCCTTGGAAATCTTTTAGATTTAGGAGAATTTCTTAAAGCATCTTCTTTCCCTTTCCGGCCATTTAAGCATATGAATTTATTGTATGTTAACCTTTACGCCTTGTTTCTCCTTCCTCTTTTATTATCGGCTAGATAAGAGAAAACTCCTTACTTTTCATTGCACTCCATTTTCTTCTGGTCTTGGCTTCAATTAGCATTTTGGCACTTTTCAACTGAATAAGTTTTCCTCGCTTAGAGTGATAACCTCCTCCTCTTTTATCTCCAATAATTCTCAAAAAAAAAAAAAAAAAAAAAAATCTCTTCTAGCTAATTAAGTTGTGTGCTCTCTTAACTTCATATGCATATTTTTTTTCTGAATATCGCCCACCAAATTTTTCTTTTTTTTTCTTGCTTTGTTTTTCTTTTTTTTTTTTTTTTTTTTTATTGGAATGCCTTATTGACCATCTTTTTTGGTAAAACATAAGTTCTGGCTTTTCAAATGCTTTTTGATTTCTTTTGACTGCTTTTGGTCTTTCCATGGAAAACTTTTACATAATTTGGTATTTGATTTTGGAATCTTTTTATATTTTAGAGAATTCTAAAGCAATCATCTTCCTTTGGATTAAGCATAGATATTGTTGTTAACCTTTTGAGTTTTCTTCTTTATTATCGGCTAGATAAGGAGAAACTCCTTTACTTTTCATGCACTCATTCTTCTGGTTTGGCTTCAATTAGATTGGCACTTCAACTGAATAAGTTTGCTAGAGAAATTTTTTATCTCCAAATTTAAGATCTTAGACATGCCAAATATTTGAATATTACTATTTGTTTCAGTGAATAATGAGGGGTCTTTGGGCCACCCATTTATAGAACCAATTCTTCAAGGGGACCAAATTTCTGATGAAAATAACAGTCTTTCAATATGAAATCCATTTCTCAATTTTTTTCCCATTTTTCAATAGATTCAATTAATAATGGTTAACTACCTGGGACTTTATGTGTGAACTATGAAAACTCGGGATCAATTCTAAAATGGTCTAGATTATTTCTCAGAAGCTATCCATTATATCTTTTAGCAAAAAATACGAATCAAAATGGTGACCTAAGTTTAATTATGAAGCTGGTTTTTCATAATGTAACAATATGGTCCTCCAAAAACCCAAGTGCGAATTCACAGTCGTATCAGTTTTCATTTCAAGTAAACAAAATATGCAAAAACAAATGGGATTCTCATGCAGTTCGATTTTATTAAGAAAGATAGCAAAAAGTTAGCAACACCAACTATGCCCCGATAAATCTTGATTGTTTTGATTCTTTGAAGGTAGTTACTGTTAAGTTTTCAAAGTCAAATTAGCGGGTGAATGCAAAAATTTTACTGGTTAGAAAACCAAAAGTAATTGAATGAAACCAAAATGCTTCTGGAAAGCAATACCTTATGCTATGCCAAGAAGGTAGTAAAAAGCCAACAATTCCAAGGCAACAAAGAATAATATGACAAGGCAAGGCTAAAAAGTGTTAATAGATACTCTTCTCAAAACTCCATCAGGAGTATAAGGCAGGAAATCATCCTCGACAGTACATTGAAGATTTTGCAGTGGCCCCCTGCTGTAAATTCTTTGAGAGGCACTGACTCGATAACCACCCAGCTGTACACATAGAGAGAATGCTGATTGGTTGTGCATTATCATAGTTTACTTTGGAAATAATGGACTCCCATTGGGAAAATCTTTGTTAGTTTGTTGATTTTGTTGGGAGAATCTGTTAGGTTGTCAGTTGTTGATTATGTGTTGGCTAAGTTCTTGAATCTTTAATTGCAGAATATTCATCAAGGATGTCAAACTGAAACTTTAATGCGTTTCCTAAAAGCTAGAGAATGGAATGTTGCTAAAGCCCATAAAATGGTTTGTAGTTTCCATTTCAGTTGAATGCTTTGTGAGTGATGAAAATAATTCAATCACCATTCCTGATTTTGAATTTGTATGATGCTTTAGCTAGTTGATTGTTTGCATTGGAGGATACAAAATGAGATCGACAATATATTAACGGTAAGTTATTGTGCCCAGGTACTTCATATACATTTAGTTCATTATTTTTTCTGAAGATGTATTCCTGGTAATCTGTTATGATATTGTGTTTTAGTTTATGGTTGGACTTCTATACGATTTTTTTTATCTTGTCTTCATAGGGTGGATAAAATACAGTAAAAAAACTGATTTACTGAATCGAATTGAGGTTATTTAGTAAAAATGGATCAAAATGGTAAAAGGTACGGTAAATTGTTTGGACAAAATTCAGTAAAGAGTAATGGTTCAATAAGGCACCCAAAAATGGTGTCGTCTTAAGTTTTAAAAGCCAACCCTAGTAGAGTAACAATTTGGTAAATCAGCTGGTAATTGGTGAATCAGTCGGTAAATGGTAAAGATCCATCGGTACATCAATAATTCAGTAAATATGTAAATCAGTCAGTGAACAACAAATACTCAATCGGTAAATTGATTAATACAAATTCGGTAAAAAGTTAACCATACCGATCGAATGTCCACTACTAATTTTCTTGTAAGTTAATGTGGTATCAAAAGTTACATTGACAATCGCCTGCAAGTAAATAAATTTTTACTGATAAATTGTTAATGTTTGCATTAGACCCAAAAATCTTTTGTTGTTTCTGTTGTCTTTGGTTCATCCTACAATCTTCCTATCATCTACTGGTATTTTATCATTAACTTTTTGCATGACCAAATGAGCTATTGAAACTAGAAAATGGACAACAATATTGTGAAGCTTGTTGATAGGTGTACCTTGAATTATTTTAGTGAGTTTTGGCTATTGTTATTGATTGAACTTTGTTATTACATTTTGCAAAAGGGATAACAACTTGTTTTGTGCAAAATGTTTATTTGTATGTATATCTATCACAAGTTTTTTGAAAAGAAATTCAATCTGGTATATGTTTGTGAAAGAATCGAATGAATGAGAAAGATAAAGAAATTTGAGCCGTTAATGGCGAGAGAGATTAGGATGAAAATATTAGGCAGTTGAACAGGCCTTTTTTCGGGGATAGAGGGACTTGAAACCTCATGATTTTAAAGTCGATGGATTTTTCCTGTTTTCCAGAAGGAATAAATTTTAATTTATATTTTCGCAAACAGAGCACCTCGTATAAACACGCCCATTAGCACTTGTACATAATAAAAGATCAAACAAAATAATTGTATCTCCTGTTTTACTTGCACGGTATATTAGACACAATAAAGTTAACCTTTTTTATTGTTTCAAGTTCTTTTGGGACTCTGGCTGGTTTCTTACCAATCTGGCTAAAACTTTCAATTATTATATGGTTAATAAATCAGTAACTTTTTTATCTAATGTGCTATTTCTTTCTACAGAAACCTATCATTCCAACTGATTTATACAGAGCAGTGCGTGATTCACAGCTTATAGGAATGTCAGGTTACTCAAGAGAGGTGTGCTCTTTCTATCTTTAAGTTCCCATGCTTATGGTTTCTTATTCCTAGTTTAGAAAAGTTCATGTACTGCTTTGTTGGTCCTGATGACACAGAAATGCTTGTTTACATGCGAATAGTGTATGCCTTCTAATTCCTATAAATGTTTCTACATCAGGGGCTTCCAGTCTTTGCTATTGGAGTTGGGCTCAGCACGTTCGATAAAGCATCTGTAAGTATCATTATAAATACCTTGCAGTGTTTTTTTCTGAGTTTCTAAGCACTCTTTAAATGTTGAATCATTGATCAGTAACTTCACCTTGAAACCTTAATCCTATGTGTTCTGAAGAATAGCTGAACTATAATATTTATAACACTGTTTTGCATTTCTTGTTATTACAGGTCCACTACTATGTGCAGTCACACATTCAAATAAATGAGTATCGAGACCGTGTAATATTGGTGAGTAGTAGATTTTGAGTATACAGAATGTTTTAAGTGGTTTTTTGACCTGAATGTGTCTTTGCAGCCTTCTGCTTCAAAAAAACATGGGCGACCTATAACAACCTGCGTTAAGGTTTTGGATATGACTGGTCTGAAGCTGTCAGCACTTAACCAAATAAAGGTATGACTTGCAATCCTTGAAGTTCCTTATTTTCTTCACAGGCCTTTTCTTGAATATTTATCCTTTTTTCTTTGACGCTAATGTTTGTCAACTTCTATGTATCAAGAGATCAATAGCATTCATACTTCAATTAACTGTGTTTTTTTGAAGCAACAGGATATGAGATTTAGTCAACCATATTTTATCTTTAAACCTCTGACCAGAATATAATAATGGTGAATTTCACTGCTGTAATGGGCGGTTGCATTATAAAAGGTCGAGTACTATGTCATATTGACCAAGTCCTGTGTTCTGTGTTGCTGCAGTTGATGACAATCATATCAACTATTGATGACTTGAACTATCCAGAGAAAACAAAAACATACTACATAGTAAATGTGCCATACATATTTTCAGCTTGTTGGAAGGTAAAACTCTCCCTTGTTTCAATGTGATTACTACAGTGGATGTTGGACTGGATTTACAGTGACCTTCCCAGCATTGAGACATGTGCTTCAGTTAACACTTGGACTTTCGGCAGGTTGTCAAGCCTCTATTGCAAGAAAGGACAAGGAAAAAAGTTCAGGTGTTATCAGGTAGTGGGCGAGATGAGCTGTTGAAGGTAAGGCATAGGCATAGTTTCCCTGATTCCTGTTGTATTGGAAACTTGCAGTCTGCTATGTATGGTTACTGGTCTAGTAGGAACCTTATAAGCATATTTTTCTTCCCCCCAGTATTCAGCATAGCTTTGTAAACATTGATGTTTTCTTGGCCAACATGTAGATAATGGATTTGGAATCTCTTCCACATTTCTGTAGAAGAGAAGGATCTGGATCATCTCGATATTCCGAGAATTCAAGTGAAAATTGCTTTTCTTTGGATCATCCGTTTCATCAACAGCTATACAACTACATCAAGCAGCAATCGATGATTGATGAACCTGCCAAACCAATTAAACAGGGGTCCTTCCATGTGGATCTGCCTGAGGCAGCTGCTGAAGGAACAGAAATTGCTAAAACCATTGAATCTGAGCTACATAAGTTTGGAAATGGGAATGGGCTTTCCAGATCAGTCAGTGACCTTAAAATCAATGATGATTGAGACATTTTGAGTATAAGATATTATCTGCCACTTCCGGTGGTGAATATTCAATCTTCATGTCCATTCACTCTGTTATAGTTATACAATATAAATGGATGTGATAGTAGCTAGTGATTCCCAATATCTCCCTACTTGACAGGGAAAAAGTTAATGCTGTATATGTATTTGATATGTCGGCTGGATAATATTCATATAAAGCTTTCCACAGCCTGACACGGTGTAGGAATGGTAGCAGAAAATTGTAATTTAAGTTCCCATGTTTAACCTATCATTTGATCGTTTTTGGCCTCTCACTCTCTTTTATTATCATAATATTAAAGGCTTCTGTTTTATCTTATTAGCCTCCTGGAATATTATTACCGGTTGTACCTTTAAGGCCTGGAGTATACTAGCTATCTAGGAGAATCTCCTTATGTAACTCTTGGTTTGAATTCATTTTATTATAATTTAGGAGAATCTCCTTATGTAGCTCTTGGTTTGAATTCATTTTATTATAATTTAGGAGAATTAATTAATTTCTGAATTTTGTATAAAAATTTTAAATAATTTATATTTTTACACAAAACAAAAGTACAGCAGAAGAAGATGTATCACTTATCATGTTGGTCTTTTGGAGACATTTGGGAATGCTTTCAAATTACTCGCCAACCGTAAGACCTATTAAAATGGTCAATAGCCTATTAGGTTACAGCAATAAAAATCAGGATGGCCCATCCACCTATTGCCACTAATTCTTTAAAGGGTAATGCTAACTGACTCATGAAATTGTCTATTATGTCCTTGGAAAACTTTAGATTATTGGATAGAGAAGAGAGAAAATAAAAATTTAAAATTTAAAAATTTCATTCTCTCTCTGGTTTACAATCTCCAATCAACAAATCATTTAATGGGTGAATATTTCAATGCATAGCAATGACCATCTAATTTCAACACACTTTTAAAAAGAAATCTTATGCCTTAAAACTGTATTTATTCGTTATCCATAATTCTATGTAGAAATCAAATCAATAAAAATATCAAATTAATAAAAATAAAAATTTTTTAAAAATTATTTATATTTTATCTTTCTTTTTCAATATATAGTCAAAAATAGTCCATTTAAATAAAAAAAAAAAGTCTTATTAGTTAACGAGCATAGACTCTGTCTAGATAAGTCTAGCCCTATATATAAATACCTTTAGTTTCTCTCAACCTGCTAGTCATTAGCCACATCTATATTGCATCATTCCATATTGAGTTAACACATAAAACGGTGCGTTTTTTGTGGCTGCATATTGATTTGTGAAAATCACGAGAAGCTTTAATTTTGGTTGAATAAATATAGATATGGTTGGATGAGCTTTAATTTTGGTACAATAAGTAAGTCTAGTAGGTGTATTGATCATAAATTGAATGGTCTCACATTATATTTACATTTATTGAGCATTATGACCTAACATGTCAATTTAATTAACTATTTTTCTTTTTTTCCTAATATATTCTTAATATCACATTAACTTCTCCAAAATGTAAAATTGTAGCAAGCTTATCCCCACCCCGACCGGCAGCTAGCGGGTTCCCCCTTCTCTTCTAAACTTCCCCTGGTGTTCGGCCTGAGCTGTATGAGGCAGAAACTCGTCTCACGTACGGTTTGAAGGCTGAGCTCAAGAGCTTCAACTGAAGTCGAGGAGTTATAATAAGAATGCAACTAACTAGAAAGCAGTTCTTGTCTTTAACAATATTTCTTGGTTGAATAAACAATAAATGCATTGTCTTAAAAAAAAAATGGAGAGATTTGCTCTACCGTTGCTAAATAAATGGGATATTAAGAGATTTGATTAAAGAATAAAATTCAGTTACAAACTCAATTCTGCACCCTTGAAATTTTTTGCACGCAAAAAATTAACTGAATTTTTAACTTTTGAATTATAAATACTCATCAACTTCATAAAAATGCAGTCATATAAATATGGAGAACAACACAAATCTAGATGTATATCCACAATTTTAGTTCAATCATGAATCCGTTAAATCTATTAGACCTTAATAAATTTACCTAAAAACTTGCATATTTAAAGTTTAGTATGAAAAAAAGGCACAAATATTAAAAATTGCATTCAACTTGGTAAAAATTACATTATTTTCATGTATTTATACTTAAATACGAAATGGACACTATTTTTTTTTTTGAAAGAGAAGAATTATCATATATTATTTCAAGGAAAAATAATCCAACAAACAGTCTGGCACTGAGTCCCAAATATGAAAACAATTAAAACGATAGGATGCTCTAACTAGACAATGAGCACCTATATTATCGTGTCTTCGAATCCAACGAACTTTGACTAGTGGAATGGAGGCTAATAACAAAATACAATCAGAAATGTTTCAATCATGAACCCTCCCGGTTAAATTCTCTATTTAGACCTTAATAAATTTAACCTTAAAAACTTGCCCATATTTAAAGTTTAGTATGAAAAAAAGGCACAATATTAAAAATTGCATTCAACTTGGTAAAAAATTAACATTACTTTTCATTGGTATTTATACTTAAATACGAAATGGGACACTATATTTTTTTTTTTGAAAGAGAAGAAATCTATCATATTTATTTCAAGGAAAGAACCCTAATCCAGACAAAAACGAGTCTGGCTACTGTCCCAGTTCCCCCAAATATTGATAAAAACATAGTAACAACGAAGGATGCTCTAACTAGGACAATGAGCACCTGGTATATTATCGGTGTCTTCGGAATCCAAACGAAACTTTTGGACTACGTGGTAATGGGTGAGGCTCTCTAATACACAAAATTACATTTCAGGAAATGTCTAATAACGATACTCAAACTCTCCACTCATACTTCTCTAATGCTTTGACAAAAGACAAGTTATACCAAGAGAAAAATATTTTGAAGGAAAAAAATGCTCTAACTAGACAATGAGCACCTATATTATCGTGTCTTCGAATCCAACGAACTTTGACTAGTGGAATGGAGGCTAATAACAAAATACAATCAGAAATAACGATACTCAACTCACTCATATCTCTAATCTTTGACAAAAGAACATTAAAAATATTTTGAGAATCTATTAGAATAGTACCCACACCCTGAACATGCCGAGCTATAAACTGTAAAGTGAAGCGCAGGGCCAAACCTTCTGCCATAAGTGGAGATGGCTTACCTTCATAGAAGCTTGAAATAGCACGCAAAAAATATCCTTCATTGTCTTCAAAAACGGCCCCTACACCCGCCGATCATATATTAGAAAAAACAACAGCATCCACGCGGCAAGTCCACTCTCCCACATCAGTAATAGCAGCTGTTACTTGCGAAATTTGTACCTGGGGCATTTGCGGCTGCACCAAGGCATTCTTGAAGTCTTGAAAAAGAATAGAAGCAGTAGCACTAACAGTTAAAGGAGTCCAATCCATTTGTTGCCAAAGAAATTTGTTCCAAGCATCCCATACACTCCATGCGATATAAGAGATAAACGCTAACTTGTCGTTATTGATTTGTTTCAAAACCTGCAAATAAAGAGTTTTAAAAGAAAAGTTAGTAAAAGCTTCCTCCACCCTACACACCTTCCAAACCTCCAACACATTTTTGCACAATAATAATGCATGATTAATATCCTCCTCCAAATCACAATAAGGGCATATAGTGTCCACATTCACACCCCGCCTTCTCAATCTCTGTCAAGTAGGCAATAAGTTACGTAAAGTTCTCCAAATGAAATATCTAACTTTTGGTGTAACATTCAACTTCCAGATACTTCCCCACCCCTCACCTTCTATGCTCTCATCACCCTTTTCCATCACCCTCAAGGTAAGATAATAACAAATGCCAAATTAGCTCATCCTCCAAATCTCAATGCCAAATTAGCTCATCCTCCAAATCTCTTACACTAAGGGGAATATCAAGAATAGTGTGGATATCCCTCAAAGAAAAAAGATTAATAATCTTTGCCACATCCCATTTCCTCTACCCTACCACCAAAAGATCTTTCACCAGGAGATTATTATCAACAAAGAGACTACCATCCTCCACATAAAAGACTCTATTAATGGGTAACCAAGGGTCCTTCACAACATTAATACGCCTACCATTGCCCACCCTCCACCAAACTCCATGTTTCAAAACCATGCTAGAAGACATTATACCCCTCCAGACAAAACTAGGGTTATGACCCGTTTGCGCATCAAGCAACTTTCCGTCACGGAAATATTTAGATTTGAAAACTTCTAAAAAGAGAGCATTTTAGGCGAAGTCAACAAGACGCCACCCGTGTTTTCGCGTAACACCGTAGCACATGAAACAATGTAAAATCCCTAAAAACCCATTCCCCCATTTTTTTACAAATCCCTAAAACCCATTCCCCCATCTTTTTTACTCCCACACATTCGATTCCAAGCTAACCAATGGAGCTTCTTCTCACTACCCTTTGAACCCCGTCAAAAACTATTCATCATTTTTTCCAACTCATCACATAGACACAAAGGCAATTCAAAGACACTTATGCAATAAGCCGACAATGCTTGAATCTCCGACTTAATAAGTATCTCTCTCCCTGCTTTGGAAAGAAATCTGTTAGACTAGCTGTTCATATGCTTCCACATTCTTTCTTTTAGGAAACCAAGAACTTGTCTTTTATTCCTGCCAATCAGAGAAGGTAGCCCCAGGTAAGACCTACCCTCAAAGGGTTTAAACACGCCCAGAATATGGCGGATATCGTCTTTCACAGTCATGCTAGTATTCGGGCTGAAAGTAATGCCAAACTTCTGAAAATTAATCGATTGACCAGAAGTGTAACACCCGCCGCCCGATCCCGAAAGACCCGACGGTGGATGCCACATTCGGTGCCAGAGGCACCGTCCTAACCTACATAGAAATCATTCATATTATGAATTAGAAGAAGTTTAGCAAGTAATAAGATAATATGTTTTTTTTTTTGAAAATGCTTTTGGGAGATCCTAACAGAAAAAACTGCAAGAGTTTTCCCTAAAAATAGGAAGTTGCCCAAACCATGTGAATACAAATTTACTTCCCAAATTCAAACTCCAAACCCCATCAAACCTCCAAATAACAACACAATTAACACTTCTATAATTTCATAACTACCTAAGTTCCTCAATTAAACATTTATTAATATTCATTCAATTCAATACATTCATTGTAAACATATTAACTTCTATTTATATATCTCCCAATATATATATACCAACAGAATTTACAATAACATGCTTAAGTCATAAATTAAATAATATAGTCTCCAAAAATGTACTACTTATACATGCCACAATTCTTAGTTACATAAAATACTAATCAACTACCAAAATATCTCTTCAGCTCTGATGCTACTCTTCAGGTCTTTAAGCAGCAAGCACAATCTTCAAACTGTGCGTGATAAAAATCAACACGCTGAGTGGATGACTCAGTGGTGCTAAATAACTAACAATTAAAATAACAAGAAATAGCCAAGGCAAAACTCGCAAGTGCTTTAATTATATAAATACCGAAATTGCATTAATGTAGTGAAATAATTAGCAAAAATAAAAATTTCATCTTTTTTAGTTAAGGGCTCGTACTTAATTACAGAATGAATATAAAGCAGATTTGATCGTGGCCTATTGTTAGCGCCACCCCCATCACACAATCGTGGACCTGTGAAAGCGCACCCCCATTCACACAAATAAGCGCGTCGCCTATTTATAAGGGCTGATAACCCTAGCATTATGATCATAGCTTTGTTATAACCAAATCAATCTCATCATACCACATTTCAATCATGCATAGTAGAAGCCCAAATCAGAATTCATTTCTTTCACAAAGGGCTTTCTTACTTATTCAAAATTTTCTTTAATCCTTAATCAAAACACTTCATTACTAAATACCCATCATTTCAAAATATCTCAACTTACAACTTACAAAAATTACCACATTCTTCAAAAGAAATATTTCACATAGATATATATACTTAATATGGTACAAAAGTACATATATGCAGATTAACTAAGTCGGCACATTTTCTTCCTGTTAGGACTGACTTCAACATGGAGCAATATGCAGAGCTTTATATAGATGAGATAGTGAGATTACACAGGGTTCCTTCTTCCATCATTTCGGATAGAGATCCAAGATTTACTTCTAGATTTTGAAAGAAGATGCATGAGGCCCTGGGTACTAAGCTGAATTTCAGAAGCTGAAAATTTCAGCACAGCTTTCATCCTCAAAACTGAGGTTCAGTTAGAGCAGGTTATTCAAATTTTAGATATGTTAGAAGCTTTGTGCTAATTGAGTTTCAGGCAGTTAGTGAAGAAGAAAATACATTCGACTTGTAGGGAATTTGCCTACAATAACAGTTATCATTCTCGAAGTATCAGATGGGCCCCTTTTAAAGCACGTATATGGTAGGAGATGTAGGACTCCACTGTGTTGGTCAGGAATTGAGTGAGCGGCAAGATGGTAGGTCCGGATTTTGATTCAGAATACAAAGGGAAAAGGTCAGGAATTATCAAGAGATCAGATTGAAAGCAGCTTCAGATCGTTCATTAAATCTTATGCGGATTTTGAAGAGGATAAGATAGAGTATGCAGTGGGAGATAAGGTTTTCCTTAAAGGGAGATAAGGTTTTCCTTAAAGTATCTCCGTGGAAAAAGATATTGAGATTTGAAAGAAAGGGGAAGCTTAGTCCTAGGTTCATTGGTCAATATGAGATCATTGAGCGTGTGGATCCATTAGCCTATAGAGTAGCTTTACCACCAGACCTGGATAGGATACATAATGTTTTCCACGTATCTATGTTGAGGAGGTATCGGTCCGACCCATTACATGTAATATCAGTGGAATCTGTGACTATAAAGCCAGATTTAACTTATGAGGAAGAACCAGTAAGGATACTTGCTAGAGAAATCAAGGAACTAAGAAATAAGAGAATTCTTTTGGTAAAAGTTCTTTGGAGAAACTATAAGACCGAAGAAGCTACATGGGAAAGTGAAGATATAATGAGACAACAACATCCTCAGTTGTTTAATTCAGGTGAATTTCGAGGACGAAATTCTTTGAAAATTCTTTAAGGGGAAAGAGCTGTAACGCCCCATTTTTTCTGTGTTTCAATAGTAGTTTACCGGTTCTGTGGATAGTACCACCGGTCCAGACGTTTGTATTATTTTTGGTTCCGAAAAAAATTACTACTTATGTTTTATATTTTTAATTTTAACATTTTTGGAGCATATATTGGCATGGTTTTTTTATGGGTAGGAAAGTAAGGAATATTTTTTTTGAGAATTTAGAGAATTTGTGAAATTTAGAGAATTTGTGAATAGTGAATTATGGTGTTATATTAAGTAAGGAAATATGAGAAATTATTTTTTTTTTATGGAGTAAATTAGAAAGTTTTGTGGAGATAAATAATATTTTAAAGGAATTTAATTGGAGAATATTTGTAGGGACTTAGATTACGAGTGACTTAATCCTAGCCATCCAATTTGGAGAAAAGACAAAACACCCTTTAGTTGCTTTATTAAAGGCAAAAGGCAACCATCAATTATTGAGCAACAAATATTTCCTTCTTCTTATCCTTACACGTCTCCTCCTCCTCCTCCTTCTTCTTCTTCTTCTTCATTTTCTTCAATTCATACTTAGTAAACACATCAAATTCACCCATCCAACTTGATTTTAAGTAATTAATCTTAGAGACTGAAGCTAGAGAAGTAATTTTTTGTGACTAATTTCAAGGAATTTGGAGATTTTCCTACTTGAGTCAAGTAAGTGATTTTATGATAATCTCATTATTTTTGGGTTTAGAGTTTTCTTTCAGCATATACATGCTTAATCATGCTCCAAGTACTTCTTTTATTTGTTTTCTTTGTTTGATTTTGAGTTTCTTACATGTAAAGGGTGGAGAGCCTTCTAAAGGATAAGGGTAAGACCAAAGCTTGAGAAGCTTTGATTCAAGCTTGTTAAAGCTTGTTTTTGAGAAGCTTTGATTCAAGCTTGTTAAAGCTTGTTTTGAAGGGTAATGCTTATAAACACACTTACCTTACTCAAATTTTTGATTTTGTGCCTTTATACTATCATGTGTATCTTTTGGAATTTTGTATGAAATGATTGATTTGTTGAATTTTGGTTGCAATTACATGCTCTTGGTTGATGTTTGATGAGTATGTATAGTGTGGTAGACATTTCTACCTTGTATCTTTGTTGTTCATGTTCCTTTCATGGTTAAAGTAAGCTGCATTTAGGAAAAACGCGTTTTTGAGTGAGATGAAGGACCATTTTTCGATCCTTTCTAATTTCAATTTGTGTCTGAGTCCTTCATAAAAGGTGTAGGTCTACCTCTTAACTTTCCAACCCATCCTCTTGTGTCCAATTTGGAGATACATAGCTGAACTTATGGCTGAAACGCCCAAACTGACTCTGTTTGTGTCGGGCCACATGCATCACTGAATTGAGTGCCCATTTTGACCACTATAATGACAAGATTAGATTCTGAGTTCTTCACAAAAGTTGTTGCCCTTTGCCCTGTGTTCTTTGAAGCACTTTCTCTCGCTTCTGGATTTGGTTTAATTTTAGTGTTTGGTTTTAATAGGGAATTCAATAAAATTTGGACTTGGTTCTGCTAAATCATGCTGGATCTGTTGGTCTTGATCTGTTGGTCTGTGTTCTGAGCTTTTGTTTGCTATCTTATCGATGGATCTGGGCTGTGGTCCCTTCATAACATTTGTAGTATTTTATCTTAACTTTCTAATGAATCTGATCTCAGTTAATTTGGAGTCCCATAACTCAAGTTATGTTTTAAAAACCCAGCAAAGGTCAAGTTTATGAAAATGCTGAAAATTTCTTGATATGTGTATTGTTATACTATATTAAGTTGGATGGGGTGAATTTGATGTACTTACTAAGTAAGAATTGAAGAAGAAGAAAAAGAAGAAGAAGAAGAAAAAAGAGACGTGTAGGAAAAAAAGGAGGAGGAAAAAATTGTTGCTCAATAATTGATGGTTGCCTTTAATAGTTGCCTTTAATAAAGCAACTAAAGGGTGTTTTGGTCTTTTCTCGCAAATTGGATGGACTAGGATTAAGTTCACTAATAATCTAAAATCCTACAAATATCCATATTTAATTCCTAATTCCTTCAAAATATTATTTATCTCCACAAAACTTTCTAATTTACTCCATAAAAAAAAAAAATAATTCCTCATATTTTCTTACTTAATATAACAACATAATTCACTATTCACAAATTCTCTACCTTCCTTACTTTCTACCCATAAAAACCATGCATACATGCTCCAAAAATGTTAAATAAAATAAACATAAATAGTAATTTTTTCGGACAAAAAATAATACCAACGTCTGGCCGAACCAAAAATAATACCAACGTCTGGACCGGTGGTACTATTCACAGACCGGCAAACTACTATTGAAACACAGGAAAAACGATGCGTTACAAGAAGCCAGCTCATATGTAGCTAAGATCCCTTTAACATTAGTTGCTTCAGCATTAGATGCTTTGAAGAAGAAAAGTGAGTCATCTGCGAAAAATAAATAGGATATTTTAGGACACCCTCTACCAGCTTTACCACCATGAATCTTACCACACCTTTTCGCTTCTGAGAAGAGTCGCGACAAACCTTATGCACATACCAAAAATAAGTAGGGCGATATAGAATACCCTTGACGTAAACCTCGTCCAGGAACAATAGAGCCAACAGTATTCCCATTAACAATAACTGAATATTTAACAGAAGTCATACACATCTTCATCCAATTTACCCACATAGCACAGAACCCCATTTTCTCAAGCATGGCATAGCACAGAACCCCATTTTCTCAAGCATGGCATAAACATACTCCCAACAAACTTTGTCATAGGCTTTACTGATATCAATTTTCAGCGCACAATTTCCACATCTACTTTTACTTGGCTTCTTAAGATTATGCATCATTTCAAAGGAGATTAAAATATTATAAGTGATAAGCCTCCCAGGTATAAAAGCAGACTGATGGCAAGAAATAATATTTGGTAACACGAATTTTAATCGATTCGCTAGGATTTTAGACACAATCTTGTAGAGCACGTTACACAATGAAATAGGTCTAAAATCAGTGACAAAATCTGGTCTATCTTTCTTGGGGATCAAAACAATTAAGGTATCATTTAGAGAGTCCAGGAAAATACCTTGTTATAGCCAATGGTTACAGGCGATTACCAAATCCCCACCAATTAAAGGCCAAAATTTCTAATAGAAAGCAGGGTTCAAACCATCCAGGCCCAGCGCTTTATCAGGACCCATTTGAAAAACTGCTTCTTTTTTATCAGGACCCATTTGAAAAACTGCTTCTTTTGCTTCTTCTAATGAGATGGGAGCCGTCAACATGCAATTATCTTCATCTCGTATTGTACTGCATACCAACCTCAAAATGGGCTAAAAATTTATGGCATTATGTGTAAGAGATGAGTGAAATAGTCAACAAACAGCTGCCGCTTCGCACACTCCTTTCCACCCACTGCCCGCATCGTTTTGTAGTTTATCAATAGAATTCTCGCGTGTTCTTGCTTTGATTTTGGCATGGAAATACTTGCTGTTTCTATCACCATGCCGCAGCCAAAATTGTTTACTGAGCTGTCTTCTTCTAGCATCCTCCTGCGCCAGAATATTGCCCCACTCCCTAATTAAAGTTGAGTTATCGGCAAAAGGATCAACCTCTTTAGCAAAATCGATAGCACGCTTCAAGCTATTTTTTTTCTTCCAAAATCTCAAATTTCTATCCACAGCCCAACGTTGCAGTGCTTCCATACAAGATTTTTTGCGGATCATTATATCAGACCCCATGGAGAAGGACAAACCGTCTCGAACTACTCCAACCAGATCTTCGTCATGAAGCCACGCATTATCAAAACGGAACTTCCTCTCCTTCCTACGAGATACCTCACTCTCCACTGTCAAAACTAACAATGGATCATGGTCCGATGTTGGTGAAACCAACGTAGTCGTAGAAGCTTCCTGGAATAAACAGGACCAACGATTATTAGCCATAGCAAGGTCAAGTTTCTCACGAGTGATAATTCGGCCAAATCGTTTGAAGAACCAAGTAAATTTATGTCCTTTAGCAGGGATATCACATAAATCACTCTCCACGACCGCCTCCTTGAAACCATTCAACAAGTATCTAGGATATTTGTTTCCACCAATCTTCTCCGAATCAGCCAATAGATTATTAAAATCCCCAACACATAACCAAGGACCATTATGTCTGCGAGATAAATTTTTAATCAATTCCCAGGAGTTTTGCCTTCTATATCTTTCCGAAAACCCATAAAAACCAGTTAGGTGCCATGAAATACCAGAGCAAAGAACCAAAGCATCAATACAATTATTTGAATAACAAGAAATGGAAACATCAACTTCACTCTTCGAAAACAAACCAAGACCACCACTTCTCCCAATACAATCCACAGAAAACCAAGAATCAAAACGCAACAAAGAGCAAAGTTCAACAAGCTTCATTTTATGAACTAAAGTTTCACAAAGGAACAAAATAACAGGGTGGTAAATTGCAACAAAGTCACACAGAGCTTTTACTGTCCGAGGGTTGCCAAGTCCTCGACAGTTCCACGAAAAGATCCTCATTGCTTCCGGCCATCTGCCCCACAGGATCGGCCGATGTTTGTGTCTTCGACTTATTGATGGTCGAAGTGTTACCAGTTGCAGAATCACTTTGTGTTACCAGTTGCAGAATCACTTTTAGTAGAAACGGCAGTGGTGCTATGAGTTGTAGGAATAACTCGTCTTTTTTTAGTCTCATCACTAATACACAAAGCCACATCTTCAGCTCCGCCGATTTCAAAAAAATCATCTTCCATTTTGTCAGAGTTATTTCCTTCTTCAGGATTTGAAGATGTACCGTAAAAGGAGTTACGAAAATTTCTCACCACAATGTTATCTCCTTCCAAAACGGATGTCGAATTTCTAATTGTCCAATTTGCTGAAATTTCAGCGATACCAAAGGATCGGATCCAAGAACTCTGTCTTCTCGCTACACGCCTCACTGGAGCACGGATACTATCATCCCAGGCCAAGATTAGCTCCTCTCTTGGTTTGGATAACCGAAGATCACAAAACGATTCTGTATGACCAATGCGGCCACATAGAAAGAAAATCGTGAAAACCTTTTCATATTGAAAACGAACATAAGAAACCTCTCCAGACATAGCAATTAGTTTCTTTTTACGCTTGAGAGGTTTCCTGATATCCAGTTTCACTTTGATTTACGCTTGAGAGGTTTCCTGATATCCAGTTTCACTTTGATTCGAAGGAATTCAAAAATGGCCTCCATGGATGTCATAAAATCATATTCCAGATAAGAACCGAGGAAATCACCCAACGCTCTGGCTGTTCCTTCATCCACATTTCCATTCGGAACATCTCGAATTTAGACCCAAATATCAACAAACAATAAAGGGATCTCTGAAGGGTTTTCTCCACTTTGGATATGTTGCCAAACAAGAAGATGTTAATTAAATAACCAAGGACCACCGAAGACAACCCTATCCATATCAATCATATTGTAGAAATGGAAGAGAAAACGTTTGGCTCCCACTTCTTGGATATCCATGCCGCCTAAGGGATGCCAAAGATCTGCTAGTGTGTGTTTCATAGCCTCAAAATTGATTCTGCTATAAGTGAGAAACATGCCAACCAAACAGAAATTATACGGATCAACTGGAGGGTTATGAGGTTGATTAGGAAGGGAAAGGTCAATCTCCTCCTCCTCATCTATAGAAAGGTGGGCGAAATCAGCTTCCATGACTGAAACGGAAAAAAGTCAGGCAAAAGGAAAGAGTTTTATGGTTTCATTGGTTTCATGGAAACTTGAAGAACTGGAAAAAATGGAAGAAGTTTATGTTTTCATGGTTTCATGGCGAAAGAGATGAAGGCGTGCACATGGTAAGTAGCATCCAAGGCGTGTACAGGGTAGACAAAAGTTCCATTGTTTCAAGGCATCCAAGGCTTGCACATGGCCGACAAGATGCGCACATGGCAGAGGAAAAAAAATCATCCATATGCAACTTACGTTAAATTTGAAAACAATTTTAAAATATGCTCTCAAATAGTGAAGTATACAATATTCCAACAAACTTGAGTAACTTTCAAAGAATTTAAATATGGAGTAGCTTCACAAAAAATGGACCAATATGTAAAATCACAACTCTTAACTATGCTCCATTTCTAAATTTTGTCATTATAAAACTCAAATTTCATCTCAATCAGAACATATTTTTTCTTAATTGAACCACATTTATTATTCCAACGTAAATTTAAGGAATAATAATTCTATCACCAAACTTTCTTTACATTTATGCACATCTACACTTATGTCTGTCAGTACCTTGATAATGTGTCACAATAAAACTTTCATAAAGAATAAGACAGAGGTAATTTGGGATTTTCACATTATTTTTTTTCTTCCAGTGTTACCAAATAAGGCAATTTTATCTATATAAAAAGAACATCAAAAAAGAAAAGTTTATCTATATAAAAAGAACAGAGAGTATTAATTTTAAGTCATGGCATATCTAGATACTAGGAATAAAATTTGCCTCGTCTATTAAGCATTCCCCTCACATAAAAAAGAACGACTAAAATTATAAAATTACCCTAAACTTTGTGAGTTGTTGCAAAATCACTCCAATTTAACCTTTGTAACCCAAGCATCTTAATTTTAAATAGATATATTGACACCCTAAATTCAAAATTAACTCAAGATTTTAATGAAAATAACATATTAATGGGTCCCACTAATTACCTTAACCCAAGGATATGAAACACGTTGTTTTAATAACAAAGTACATAAAGCTCCAGTCTAAAATGGCGTCCAAGATGCAATTTCACCTCTCCATGGGAAATTAATTATTTCATCCCCAAAGTTTTACAAAATTAATTATCTTATCTTTGTATTTTTGTATATTAAGTATTTAGTTCTCAAGATTTAGTTCTGTCTCGGTACATGGTCCTTCCACCCTTAACAAAATTTGGAAAAACCATTTCCCATGAACCCATTATCATTGACAACCATAAAATGACCGCAAATAGAATATTCACCGTAGCCACCGTCATAACCACCATTACCAAAAAAAGAGCACCATTATCACAACTAACCACCATTGCAAAGTGCATTTTTCAGTCCAAGCTAGAGTTTGTGCAAAAAATGGAAAACCTTCTGAAATCAAAACTTGATAAAACTTTATCGCAGTTCATTTTCACCTTCAAACAACTAAACAAGTATTTAGCAATCAAACAACACAGAATGGTATAGTTACAAGATTCTATACTCTTAAAAATTATGAGAAAATCAGCATCCAAAAGAGAGAAATTGATGAACAACTTAACACTAACGATGCAAAACTTGATTAAAGAAATAAAAACAGAAATAAAATAAATAAAACCCAATGAAAAAGAGAGTTACCGATAAGGAAATGATCGAGTTTTTTTTTTTTTTGGGAGATGGAAAGATGAAAGAGTAGTAAGGAAATGATCGAGTTTTTTTTTTTTTTGGGAGATGGAAAGATGAAAGAGTAGAAAATTGAGAGGGAAAATTTCGACTACTGTGAAGAATAAGAAGAAGACAGTGATTGTTATGAGAACGGAAAGAGTGGATTAAGAGGCTAACACAATATTTTTCTTTTTGAAATACCTAATCTCAAAATCAACAATCATACCCACAAACACCTTCAATACCATGCCGCTTTGCAAACAAAAAGTCCCATAAACACCTTCAATACCATGCCGCTTTGCAAACGATAAGAGATGGTGAAGATGAGAGAAGCTTTTGAGTTCAATTGGTGATCTAAAGAGAAACGTTTGTTGTGATTGTTGCTAGAGTGGTGGTGGAGCATAAGAAACGACTGCTGATGGAGATGAAAAGGAGGAGGAAGAGGAGAGCAGTAGAGATTCAAAAGGTCTCCAAAAGCAAAGAGAAAAGGAGAGAAGATAGAGAATTTTGTTTTATTAAGGAGGGTATTTTAGTCTTTTCATTATTATTTAACGGAAAAGGAAACTGATTTCAAATGGAAGAGCTACTTAATGAGACGAAATTAGACTTGAGGACTTAATACCTAATATATAAAAATATAATAACAAAATAATTAATTTTATAAAGCCTCAAGTAGGAACTAATTATTTTCCCCCTCTCCACCCCCTCCCACTCGTTGGGGCCCATGGTAAGAGTTACTAAAGCACATAACTTTCTCTGGTGTATTTGTATTTGATATCTTTAGGTTAAGTTAGCCAAGGCTAACCAATGGAACTATTAATATATTATTTTAATCAAAACCTTAAGTCACTTTTGAATTTAAGGTGTTAATATATTAGGATGTGGATTCAGGCAGTTCGGTTCCAGACCGCACCAAACCAAAAAACTGAAAACTGAAATTTCATAAATTTCACTAACCGATCCAAACCGAAAATGTGTGGAAACCGAACTCTTCCGAACCATAAATTTCAGTTCAAAACGGTGGTTAACCGAATATCCAAAATTATTTTTAGTTCATACGCCTCCGATTCAACATTTCACAGCTCAAATTCACAAAATATACAATTAAAGTGCAGCAAATTTCCTAATAAATTGTTTCAAATCATTACATCAAACCCATATCCACGAACATTTCACAGCTCAAATTCACAAAATATACAATTAAAGTGCAGCAAATTTCCTAATAAATTGTTTCAAATCATTACATCAAACCCATATCCACGTACAAATAAAATAAAACCTAATTAACTAACAACACAAATACAACTATAGAATCTAAAAATTCAAACTTTTCAAACTAATGATTTGAATTTGTAATTTAATCTTCTTCTCCAAACATCATGACTTTGAATTTGTAATTTAATCTTCTTCTCCAAATACCATGACACATCCACAACCTCCAAAGTTTGCAAATCAACTTCTTCAAATCAATAAGAATACATATATCACAAATTAATATAGCTTCCTTACAAGGTTACTGGAAGAAACAGCCACAATAGAAAAAATAAAGCTACTGATATTTTTGCTTATATTATCCCAATTCCCAAAATTAAAAAAAAAAAAATGTGAAATTAGCATTCAGTTCCTTAGATCTTTCTTTTTGAAAAACTAATTAATCCCTACTACACCAAGATAGTGACAAAGATTATCAAATTTCTCAAAAAGAAAACTCGCATGCAAGTTTAGTTACCTAATCAAATCAAATTATCAAATTTTAAACCATAAACATTCAAGTTTAGGGGAAAAAAGAAATCATCAATCAGATCATGAAATCAACAAAATAGTACAACATAAGTAATAAACATCAATAATCAACCAACCTGATAGGAAGAAATCGCCGGAGACGTTAAAGGACGGCTGAACAGTAGTGGGAAACACAGAAAACGAAGAAGATGAAGCAATACTCGAAGGAGACGCCAAGGTCAGCCGTTTAGCAGCTTCCGATGGTGGGCTTTAGCCAGAAAAAATCATCGGTAAAGGTTGCAGTGCAGAGAGAGAAAAATGTAGAACAGGTGGTAGATTGGTTGGTAGCGGCGTAAAGTGAGAGTGAGATTAGGAGAGAAGATTCCAGGATAAACATGAACTAAAACAATAGGCAAAACGAAGCATTTTACATTTGCGGTTCGGCTCGGTTAACCACGTACTTTCTTCCTTAAAACCGAGCCAAACCAAAAATCCAAAATTTTCTAACTTTACTAACCATAACCGAGAACGAAAACCAAACCAAAAACCGAAAATTTTCAGTTCAACTTGGTTTTTCGGGTTTTTCCCAAGTCTGCACACCCCTAAATATATCTAAATTTTAAAATTAAAGTACCCAAGATACAAAGATCAAATTGGAGCGATTTTGCAAGAGGTCAAAAAATTTAGGCTAATTTTATAGTTTAAGCCTTCGTTGGACCTATAACAATGTTCTTTTCGGTCTATTGTCTAAGCATAATATCACACCTCGCTAGCTTTGACAATAGTACAACAATGGCAAGGGAACATCACTTTTACTAAAATTCAAACAAAAAGGTCTCCATAAACTTCCAAGAGTACTAAACAGTATCCAACAAACAATGCAAATGCTAATTAACTGAAGAATAGTTTTAATGTGATTTTTCAACTTCATCATAACATAAATGAGGAAAAGTGAAAAGAATTCTGATTAGAAAAAACTACTATCAACACTGATAGCACAAGCAAAATTCCCAAGTCTAGCTTTTCACATAATCAAAAACGAAAATAAGTAGAGCAAAACCATTAGAGCCTAATTCATCCTCCTAATAAGCTCATTAATATAATCCTCGCGATTTCCGGCGTCACCACCCTCCACATAATGGTTTCTTTTCTTCTTCAAACCTCCAGATGGAGCACTTAGTTTAAATGGCCAGAGAAAATTGTTTGCCTCCTTGAAATGAGGACCCACAGTCATGATCTCATGAATTAAATCTTCCACGCAAATAATTCCAAAACTTCCTAGAGCCTGCAGATATTGAAATCAATACATCAATATGAATGCATAAATTGAAGGAAGATCTAAAGCAACTGATGAATACGTAACACCTACCTGTTCAACAATAGAATTATCAGTCAGAGCAATCCTCTGCTTATTCAATTTTCCATAACCCCTCTTGTAGATCAACTCCCTTACACTTTTAAGATTAGGATATCTACAAAATAAAATCAAAGCCAAACACACATAAATGCTCCACAATAAAATTAGGTCCATTAATTACTTTCCAGAACTGGAGTAAAATTTTCAGGCTTGTGCTGCATTTAATCGAAAACATTGTTCACATGAGAACCAATGATTAATAACAGCATATGTAAATTTCTCTTAAAAGGTGTGGTGGATCAATCTGCCTTACCCATAAGTAACATATGGCTCAACCCTATGCAACATGCTCATGGTTGCTTTGTTCACTTTGAGAAACACACCGTTAAATATCTGTCCAAGAAATTTTAACAAGTTAAGACATTTCCGAATATACATGGGATTAGAATACAAGATACCCACCCTACTGGGGCAATAACTGGGTGAAAGGCCATACTATTTAGTTGTTTATTTTTAACATAAAAATGCCTGTATATATTACCTGTCTCAGACGCAGAAGTTGCAAAATTTTTCTGGTCTTTGGATCCATTGCATTGATACTGTCAAGGTGCAAACAAAATTAAAGAAACAAAAGGATGCCAGCAGTTAACACACATTGACAAATATCATCATGAAGGAAACAATAATCCATACTATCTTTGTATTTAAAACGGCAACAAAATCTCAGTAAGCTTACCCACGGATTCGGATGATGAACAGCAGTTTGGCCTCAGGTTCAACATAAAAACCTCCTTTCAGCTTGGCTTCTCTTTTCAAGGTTATCAACTCTCTTTCCTGCAAAAACATAACCAGTATAAAACACGTCATAAATAAAAGATATTAACCAAAAAAAGTATTCTAGTAATGCATAAAATTATGTTGCTACCTTTTCACTGTATTCTTTAACATATTTCTCAGCCCTCTTGTAGATTATCTTTCTACTTTCAGCATTTTTTTCCTTCTTTATTTTTAGTTCTTGGCTCTTTGCCAAAGCCCATTCCTCACTTCTCTTCCTTTTCTTTAACACAGATTCAGGGACAATAGCTCCTGCCTTAGTTTGTTCAGCCATTTCTAATCACAATCAATCAGATTAGCCCAAGGCAGCAAATCAGAGGCTCATATGACAATTTACTGGTGTTTCAAAGAAATACAGAAAAAAGATCACAGCACCAGTTGCAAAGAAACCCACTTACAAATCATCCATATTTCAAAATATAAGACTAACTTGCGTAACCCTAAAAGAATGGAATGGAATGCAATCAAATGCATAAATATCCTAAAAGTCTTGTAAACTCAAGAAAAAGTCCATGAACAAGTACTACAGGACTATAAATAAATACTTTCTTATTTCCTAAATTAATTGTGAGCTAACTAACGAGACAGGTCTCAGTCGAGACAAGTGAATTAATTGGTCACATAACTTTCAAAAAACAAAAAAAAAAAAAATAAAGATAAAAAAACCACTAGAAGCATAAAATTAGCATCTCAACAAGCCATAATCCACGCCTTAAAAAGCAAGATCCAATTTTGTTTTATATCAAAATGAATAAAATAATCGAGACTGAAACACAGTTTCTAATTGAAAATAAACCTTATTAAACCCTAGTACCTATGTGTAAATTAGAGGATAGTAAACAAATCAAGAAGCACAAATAGAAATGCAGATCAAACAAAGCAATATTAACAAGCAGCAAAAAGGAAGCATAATTTTCATGGGTCGGTCTTCACTCTTACCTCCTTGAAGCAGAGAAGAAAGAAGCAGCCAACGAAGAAGCACCAGAGGAGCAGCAAGCGACGGAGGAAGCGGAACACAAATAAGATGCCCTTCTCCTGATCCCAACGGCGTCGTTTCCGAGATTTTGAAATGGTGATTTGGTCATTTCAGCTAAAAATTAGGTTTTTGGAGCATTACTCGTCCGGGCCGGGTTTAGCATTTTTATTTTGGTAAATGACTAATTCCTCCTCAAGTTTGATCATAATAACAACTTTGTCCATCTTATTTTGTAAATATATTAATTAGTCTTAAAGATTTAATCTTGTTAAATTATTTAGTGTTTCCATTCAAAAAATGTATTTTTCAGTAAAAGTTAGGGGGTGTATATGGGTCAAATTAGAATGGAAATTCGATCTATGGAGCAGGACAGAAATTCGATCTATAATATTTGGTTTAGTTTATAAGTTGAAAAAGTACTTAAAATAAGTCCAAAATATAATTAACTGCGTAATTAAAATTACTTTTTGATCATTTTTCAAAAAAAATTAACCACATACCAAGCATAGCTTAATGGTAAGTGCATTTTAATTTGACAATAGATCCAGATTTAATTATTCCCTTCCCCAATACTGAAAAAAAAAAAATCAAGTAAAAGACTATGTTCTATCCGTCTCTCTCTAACTTTTTCTTTTTTGTTTTCCCGACCATCTTCTTTGGTTGAAAGTGGTTTTTTTTTAATTTATGTTATTTAATTTTCTTTCCAATGATTTCCAAACTTATAATTATTTGAAATAAAATTTAGATTTAGTCTCTTACATGATATATCTTAAGTGTTTTTATTACTTTCTTAGTGGGGTTATTATTTTTCCCATTTCATGGGTTTCCTCTTTATTGAAGAGTTTTTATTTGGATCTTTCAAACATTATGAATTGTTAGTTGTTTGTGGTTGGAGCCTTCAAATCTTCAAGTCCGGGTAAGTTTCTTTTACCAATGAAGCCTGATAGTGCAGTTTATTCCTTCATTAAAGTTTAATGTATTAACTCTTCTGTAGGTGTCAGTTGTAATAAATTATCGAAAAAACAATATTCGGGATAATATTGTAGAAGGTTTTTTTTTTATCGTCCTATTTAAAAATGGACCAGTTTTTATCCAGAAGATTAATCTCTTCTGTCAAGATTAAGAACATCTTCAAATAGAAGATTTCAATTGTATTTCTTATGTCTAAAGGAATATTACGATATACTCAACTTATATTCATTATTAATGCATTGTTAAGTTTTCAAAATAAAAAAAGAATAGAAGACTATGTTATTCTAATAATTTTTAAAATATCAAACATTACTCTAATTTTTAAAATACTTCAATTATCTATTTAATTAATATTTCATTTTTTATTGTGATGTTTGATTCATTATTTATGTAAACGGATCCAAATATGAAATAACTAAGGTAATTAGGGGTGTATTGATTATGATTGTGTTAGATTTTAAAAAAATTGTTGAGTTTAATGAAATTGAATGATTTTCTGAGATTTTTACATATTCTATTAGAATTCTATATAAAGTTTTTAAGAAATTAGTGATATTTTTTAGACTTTATTGATTATGATGAAAATACAATGATTTTTATATACTCAATTAAAATTAATTCAAGGACTTAATTGAACAAATTAAAAGGTTTTGAGTCCAATTAAAAAATTTGAAGTTTTTTCTTATTTTTCTATATTTTGATTGGCCAACTCAAAAAATTTTTCAATTTAATATTTAGTATTTAATATGGATATCGATAAATTTTGAAACCTAATCCAATTAATAAAAATTTAAAAATTAATATTTATGATAATGACCAACACTTTTGAATCTTTATATATCTAAAACTATTTAGCTATATATTTTCCTTCCATTCAATCTCAATTCTCATCTATTTTATCTCTACGCCTTTTTTCTTTCACAATGATTTATCTTATTTTGTATTGATTTGCTTTACTTCTTTCGTGTTCTCTCTTCTGTTCAATTGCGTAATAATCTCAACTATGTAATCATCTCTTTCTTATTAGATATACAGGTTCTTGGAGAAGACAAAGAAAAAAAAAAAAAAAAAAAAACGTGTTCTCTCTTCTGTTTCAAATTGCGTATAATCTCAACTATGTAATCATCTCTTTCTTATAGATAATACCAGGTTTCTTGAGAAGACAAAAAAAAAAAAAAAAAAAAAAAAAGAAGAAGAAAGGCGCAAAAATAAGGAAGTTGAACCAAGAGAAACTGAGGAGAAGAAGAGTCACTAAACTAATGAAAAACTAAAAGGTTTATCAGGTGAGGGGATTAATAATAGGCTACGATAATTCGATGCCTTAGAGTCAAGAAGCAGATGTTAAGGTTTCGGAACATGTTAAGACTTTTAAATTTTACATTGTACATTCATCTGGATTTTAGTTTGATTCTTTCATCTCCCAAGTTGGTTGCCGCTTTGTTCAGTTGTAATTTTTTTTCTAATTTCTTTGATTGAGTTCCAGTAGCTGGACAGCGGTTGAATTGATAGGTGATGTGAGAAAATGCATCAACTTGTAAGAAAAATAACTCATTTTGTTGCAAGCTTCATGAAATTTAGTGCATCAACTTGTAAGAAAAATAACTCATTTTGTTGCAAGCTTCATGAAATTTAGTTCAGTTCAAGTAAAACAAACCTCTAGCAAGAGAGTGCTTGGAATAAAGCTCAAAAAGATACAATGTTAATAACTTATATGGCTTCTTGGATGGTTCTTTTAAGTTTTACCAGTCTTTCTAATCTCTTAGCACTTTATTATTAAAGCAAAGTAAATTTCTTTCCAATCTCTTAGCACTTTCTTAAAGCTAAAAATTTACTTTGTATTCTTCCAATATTAACTTTTGTTTCATTGCAAGGTTGACGATGCAATGGAGATTTAGTAATCATAAATAATAATTTTTTTCGAAAGGAAATCTTTAAATATGTATAAAAGATTCGGTATATAGACTATAGAGACTTCATATATTTCCCAAGTAATGCACCAAGGAAATCTAACGATACATGGTCTTTGTTGTTTGATTAAGCTTGAATCATCTTTTATATTTATTTTTTTTATTTTTTTTACTGATTTTAAATTTTTTTCTTATTTTTAATGTCAAAAGTTGATAAAATGACAACATATTTAAGCAAATCATTTGCTATTTGCATTTTTTTAAATGATATTCTTAAATTTAGATTTAGATAAATTTAAAGATATTTAAAACACTTAATTAGATAATTTAGAAAATTTTATGTTAATTATTTAATCCTAATCTCTACCAAAAATGGAGCGTCTGTACTTTCCTACTTGGTTTGTACTACATTGGTCAATTGATAGCTAAAACACAACTGGTGCATGTTTTTTCATCCATGAATATTATATATATAATTTGATTAAATATTTATTTTTTAAAAATTATGAAGATGAGTGAATTCGTGAATGTTTAATGTTAAAATGCTAGGAATCACATGAATTATTAGAAGTTAGTGTTAATCCAATTAAAAAACCTAATTAATGCCGTTATCGTATTAACTTCTATGTTAACATGGAGTATGTATAGCTACAGAATGCTTATTAACTTCTGTGTTAATATGGAGTGTGAATAGCTAAAGTACCGAGCATAAGCATTTAAGTAGAGTGTATTGGATTAAGACTCAATTAGATTTTAAAAGATTTTAAAATTCCAATAGTATTCAATATGGATTTTCATGGACTCTATTAAAATTTTGTAGTATTCAATTCAAACTCTTATAAAATCTATAAAAATCTGATGGTATTCAATTATGGCTTTTTAAAAGTCTATACAAATTCGATGGTATTCAAAACATTACTGATATAGAAAGATTTTATAAAATTATTGATTTCATTGGTTTTTAAGGTGCTAGAAATGAATAAAAGAGTCATTCACAAATCTATCATCCAACCCAAAGATTACAAAAATATTTTAAAATCTAATAAAGTCTTATTTTAATACACCTCTTAATAAGGATAGAAGCGGCACGTGTATCTACGAATTTTGAATTTGTCACGACCCATTTCCGTGGGCCGGACCGGCACTAGGGCCCAGGTAAGCTTAAGGCCCCCGAGGCCCGTAGTAAGCCTGAAACACTAAATTCCGTGGGCCGGACCGGCACTAGGGCCCCAGGTAGGCTTAAGAGCCCGAGGGCCCCGTAGTAAAGCCTGAAACACTAAAAAAATTTTACTAATCTCAATATTAAATAATATTAACATTTAGTCCCATATGATTATGAAAAATAAACCTCAAGATTTTTATAAAATCTCGGCCCAGAATTTACGGCTACGAACATTCCAACAGTTCGGGCTAAATTAACAAATCATCAACATTTTACAATATGGATTCACATAATTATCTCGTCTATAAATAATAACCGATTAAAAAGTATACAAATCCTACCTACAACCTGGCGGAGCTCACTAACTAGTTAGTATACATAGTAAAAATAATTATGATCTAGGAAAAAATTTGTATTATTGCCCTGCCGCCGTAAGAAACATAGCCTAAATCGGTTGATTAAAGGAAAAAAACCTACTTTCCTGAAAAAAATCAAACAAAGACATGTGAGTTTCTAGGAGTAATAAATTATTGCACACTACACACAGTCACACAAATGTGTAAACACATATTAAATCTAGTATCCTTATATTAATCGTAGTTTCCGACTAAGTTTATAATGCTCACGCAGCCAGTCAACACATGGCATATCACGCAAGCAACACTCCACAAAAATCATAACATCTTCATATAATCACAATCAAAGTGGAAAATTAGTCAGGTGGCCGCCCACCTGAAACCCCGCAACGAGCCGTCCGTCACACATGGCCGCCCTCTCATTAACATGTGCAATCAGGAGGAAGCCGATCCCCCATACGGCCAACTGGGTTTAATCACTCACTGACAGTCCTCATCATTGTATTTCCATTCTCTCTTTTCTTTTTCCCATACCAACAGGGAGCAACGCCGGTGGTCTCCATCCATCAGATCATCAAGTGCCTCCACAGGAGGCCACCCTGGGGCTACAATCAAATCTAAAGATTATCAGGGCTGGCGCAACAAGCAAAGAAGCCATCCTGTGGGTTTTCCAACCATAATCCAATCATCAGTGCACACAGGGGGCGGCCGCCGATACT